TCTGGAATAATAATAATTAAAGTCCAACATTTCACAAAATAGGTTGAAAAACTTGAAATTGCACTAAAATGCAATAGTCTAGTTGTGAAAACCAAAGTGCTAATGCCGGCAAAGAACGATTTAGAAAAATTTTGGAAAGGGAGCTGAATTTCTTGCTGTAAAGTTGCTTGCTAACAAGAACTGAGCTGTCCTTGTTGCTAAGCGACATCTTAAGACTTAAATAGCATGTAAAGAGAATTTCATCATTGATCTAATAATTATATTTTGTCGTTGTCCACAGTTTTCCCGCTTGACGGTATGGCCCGATATGCAATGATTACGTGATCCATGTCTATATATTACGGTTCAAAATTTAAAAGTGCATTACCATTGTATAATTATTGCTTTTAACGTCTTTGCGGTTTACAACAACAGAAATTGACGATTATGATGAACACAGCAAGGACTGTTAAACCAATGCCAACCTTATCACGCGTGGATAATACTTCCTTTTGTCCCTCATTGCCTTAGAAAGCAAGCAATAACATAACTAAAGTGTTACCAAGCTCACAGAGCGAGGCACATGCACTTCTCCGTTATCTGTGTCCACTACAGGAAAATTACGATGTCTTCCGGTTTAAAGGCATCAACAGATACTTCTAAAGCTCATATTTTAGGTATATTTCCAGAAGCATATTTATAAATTTGTACTAAAGTTGGCAAAGCTAATCCTTACAACTATAAATGTCAGATGAAAATTAAGGATCCTGTGGATTTCAGTGTTTAAAATATACGCGTCTACAGGGCCTACGCTTAAAAAACCGTATTTTTAAAAGGAAAGTTAAAATGAAAGCATTCAATCCTTTCATTTAGCATTGCCACCTATTTTTTTTAATTGGGCTATAGATCTCCATGGCAGCAACGTATTCTGATTTTGGCAAACGCAAAAAAGAAACGCTGATTTTATAAATTTTACCGTTTTTAATTCTACAACTATAAATTTATATTGCAAGTTTATGGCCAAAATAGTTGTTGTTGACCGGAGAAAAATAGCAGCACCTCCGAATACTAATTTACATTGGAAAAAAACTTCACCTTTGTCTGGAACGAAGATTTTGATGGCTGCTGCCAATAAGAGGAGAATTAATATAATAATAATTTCTGTTTTGGTAAAGAACACCCTAAAATTTGAGCATCGTTTTCAGACATGAGTCGAGAATATACCAATACGAATGTACGCTAAATAGCCTAAATTCGTACAAAATTTATTTACATTTTAGACGTAACCAAGTTCCAGATACGGGAATTGCGAGGTCGTATTTTCGGTTCTTTTCCCCTGCAGGGCCAATATTAATTAATCATGATAATTTCGAATATCGTGCAATAGCTTTTTGTTGCAGCGACAAAATTGCATGGCCAGTTTGTTCCTATATATGCGTTAGGAAAAATTCCAGGAATAACAAGTTTTAAAGAAATGTTACTAATTTCTAATTACCGTAATTTGTATTGGACATGAATAATTGTAATTCCCTACAGGATTTTAATTTGGGTATAAAGAAAATATATTGATCACAACTGCACAAATGTCTTGACAACGGCATCTCATTTACTTATAGAATTAAAATTATTTCTCAAAACATATAATAGAACTTTATAAGTATCACAAACGAGCAATTTCATTTGGCTTTTTTCCTGTTTCTATAAAGTTATAGAAACATTTGTGAGAGTTTGGGAGAACTCGATTTAACGTGGAAAAACACTTTCCCGCTGATTATTTCTCGTTCTCCCGAACTCCCACACGTGTTTCCTATCGATCAGTTGGTCACGCAAATCATCGCAAAAAATTATCTAAACATCGGAAATTGTTGAAGACTGCAGAAGAATTGTGCGGCTATCCTTTCTTACGAGATCCAATTTTGCCATATCTGTTATGTCGGCCATGTGAGCGAAGACTGAAAAACGTAACAGAATTTCAAAATGTTATTAAGAAAACACCAGATGGATATCGCCAGCAAAGTAGAGTAAAACGATGCATAGAAGTATCTCCAATGGTATCCCAACCAACAACATCTCGATTGTTCAGACCTGTGCATATTTGCATAATTTAGCTGATTGATCAGCTCAACAAATATGAATTCTGTCTGAGTATCTCTACCAAGTTTGCTGTTCCTGATGACATAGGACAACATTTTTTTGGATCAGGCTGTCGAGTTGTTGATGGAATTTAGGATGAAATTTGTTTTTGGATGGAATTTTGAATGAAATTTGGGAATCTGGGATGAAATTTGTCTATGTGGGAGATAACATAGACTGGGAAGAAAAAGAGTTGTTCATGCAGAATTTCATCCCAGATTACTAAATTTCATTCAAAATTCTATCCAGAATTCCAGTGTGAGTTTAACAGAGTATCAATTGATCACCTACTTGACAATGGTCCACATAAAGACATTGCAAAATGCAATTTTAGGGAACTTATTGCTCTGTCTAGTGAAGAAATTGCAACAATTCGAAATCGATACCAAATTTTTATCACACACGTTCTGGGCTCAGAAGTTTACAGGACTATTTAGTTTGAAGCAATACATTCCACAGAAATTACTACTTCATGAATATGTGGAATATACAGCACTGAAGTCTGAAATTATGACATTGCCAGTTCTCATGAAAAACGAGAAAAAGTACAGTGACTGCGTGGATGTTCTGGATCAATTGAGACAGTGGACAGAGGATGTAAACATTGCAAGTGGCATCTTTGACTTTTCACAGCCTTCCTCAACAGTTTTCCATGAAATAATCCAGGTACCTATATGCCCAGATCAACCTAGAGCACATATTCCACCAATTACTTCTCAATCTGACCCTTTAAAAGATGTAAAAATTCCATGTTTTGGAGATGAGTTGACCAGATTAAGGTTCGCTGGTGCACGGGATCTTCGTTCAGGATGCAATATTCCTAAACAGCGATTGGATCATTTGTACCCGTTTAGAATTGTTGGATGGCACGCTAAAAGAAGCTTTCTTAAGGTAAATTTTATACTTTGTGGATTGTAATGCATGTAATGAGGAGCATGTGGCCCAGGGGCCCTCCCCAAACTCTGTTTCTTAACCTTGCAGCTTTGACAATTAACTACACACAAAAGCTAGTGCTCCTGGAAGCTTGTGACCCCTCCTCCTACCCCCTAAAGTTGAGATACTTCCTATTTCCATGTAATTTAATATCCAATTTGTTACTTGTAGGTCAATTCACTATGTACAAGTTTCTTTGTAGGCACAATACATAATCTTTACAATATTTTTAAATTTATGTGGTGTAACTACAAGCAAATTCATTTGTATTGTGATTCACCACGCAAAACTTCAAGAATATTACTGATGAACTAATTGCTTTTTAATACTATTTCAAGAGTGCAACTTAAAGTATCCCAGTGTAAAGATTGCGATCTAAATTTATTGCATGGATGGTCATTTATACTTAACAACACACATAATTGGTTTAAATCATGTTAGCTAAGCAAGTGCATTACATACTAATTGCACTTATTTTAAGAAAGAGCTCATTAATTCATACAATTTTAGGTTCAAATAGTCATTCAGTATATTAACAGGTAGTGGAATAAATATTTTTGTGATATTTATAGTCCATCTTCAACAGACTTTACAAGAACTCAGGAAGAGAAAATGGGACATTGCGATGCTTCCTTGAAGTCCTGAACAGATGCAATGTGACTCTCAGTGTTAAAAATTATGAAGCCTGCAAGCAGCTATTGATGAGTGTTGGCATTTGCTTTCTTGTTGAATCCTTGCTTGAGTTCTTTGGTATGGAAAATGAGAGTGATTCACCAAAAGAAAACAATCCTCTCTTTTCAGATAGTAAAAATGAAGAAAAAAAAGGAAAACCATCCAAAGACTGTTCTAGATAAGTTTCTAGATGAGTTCCTTTTCCATGGCTGCAGTAATAACGAATCTTTAGATGACAGCAATTCAGATGACGACAAACCAGATTGTATCTTCAATTATTCTGTCAACCTTCTCTATTTATTTATGGTTCTTTTCGATTGCAAGGAAGCAGTAGCATCCGGGAATGGAGAGCATTTGGCATGAATCCAGAAGCAGTTGTTGCATTGTTTCTTATCTGTTTCTCGGTTTAATGTATATGCCATTGAAATTCTAATTACCCCTATCTAAAATGAAGTTTTGCTTTCATCTGCTGAGGCACATCGATGCAAATGGCTGCCCTAGCTAACTGGAAAGGAAGTAGCAACATGAATATTGAAATTGATCTGCTGCAAGAAAACAGGAACAGAGATCTCAAAGAGCTAATTCGCTTAATGGGGGGAAACCAAGCCTATTCAGAGGATGAGGAAGGCAGCTGGAGGGGTTCGTAAGATTGTCTATGGATTTGAAAGTCAAGCCTCTAATAAACAGAAGTCAACTTCTCTTACACACAAATCTTCGTTGGAAGATAAAAAGAAGATTCTTTCTGATTTGCGCAAACTAAAGCCATTTGCTCAAGCTCCTGGAAGATCACATGATTCGTTTGCTGGAATTTCATCAAACCCACTAAATGATTTGGATGAAGGCAAGTTATAAGAATGGCTGGCAAGACATCAAAATAACATCGCAAAGCATTTTCCCGGAACAAGTCATTATGATATAGATGCTGACAATGAACAAGCAGGTGATTGAAACTAATTGAAACTAAACAAATGCTGGCTCTTTAAATTACAATCTTATTTGATACATGGAGAGGGAAACAATTTCACTATAAATACAACTGAATAATGTACAAAAAATATATGATACACCATTTGAAAAAAAATTAGCGAGATGTTCCTTGAGTTCCACTTCTTAATCTCTTCAGTGGCGTAGCCAGCCTGACGATTTAGTCATGCTATGCAAATTTTCTGTTATTACCATTATTCATTTCTTTAGAAATTCATTGTTTTCACAGTCAATGAACACCAAAATATTAGCATAGCATGACTAAATTGTCAGGCTGGCTACGCCACTGAATCTCTTCATTATTTCTCGGTATATAATCGTATCTGTTTGAGCACTTTCAAACATTGGTCTTGTTTTTAGAATCATGAAAGATCCTTAAGAATTCTTCCGCGAAACGTCATCTTACTTCATCACGAACCTTTCAATTACAGTTATTTTCGCATTTTTCTTTTGGTTCTTGTTTCCTAAACTAGAATCCTTGCATCAACGGAGTTGCTATATCCTCCTCATTTCCAAAATAGAAAAAAATATTTTTGAGAACATTCGTCCCACAAAATACTGCTACCACGTGACAATGATATACTTTAAGTGGCATGAATGAGAATTTCGGGCCCTGAAAATATTACAATTTCATGCGGAAACGGCTTTTACGAACATATTAGATAAATTATTTGAACAGATTTTCAAAAGAAATTACCCAACCTTCTTAATTGTCTTTTTTATATACACCCACAGAACCGGAGGCTTAATTCGGGGGTGCATATTCATATATTCACGTTCAAAAGAATAGCAGACAAAATAAATCAGTCTGGCTTAAGACGAATATATGAATATGCACCATACCACCGCCAGATTAAGCTTCTAGCTTTGGCTCTGTATGCAGGCGTCAAACGGAAAGGCGCCATAATATCAGATAAATCACCCCCTAACGGCTAAAGCCCAATATGCAAAAATTGCTTCATTACATCAATTACAATTCGAAATTAATAAGCGCGATTATTCCGTTATTGATATTATTATAATTTATATAATTCTTACCTTTACATTTGACTTTCGATTTGTAACAACAACAACAGAGGGCGAACAGGTTGATAACAGCGAGGACTGTTAAAACAATCCCAACCTTATCAAGCGGGGAAAAGTCTTCCTTTTGTCTATCATTACCTTTGATAGTGAGAAATAATACAATATAGTTACTAAATAGTTTTCAAGCTAACGGTGCAAAGCTCACGCGGAATGTCCTATTGGAAGGTTATGCCTAACCTGACCGCCGGCCAAATATTTAATACCTATTTACGACGCCGAGGAAGACAGTGTGTTTTGTTGACCAGAGACAGCCGGTGTGGCCAGAGGCGCAGACGAGTACAACAAAGAGCGGTCGAAGGTCACAAAAAAACACTGTTTCCCTCGTCAGTAAATAAGTGATTTTTTATTATATCTAGTGTCAAATTTCATCTTTTCTGCTTTCCTACTGGAAAAGAGGAGAAAATTTAAGGCAATTTTTCAAAAAAAAAAATTTTGATGAAGTACTTTAAAGAGCCTGGCAACAAGGCTGCTGTTCGCCACATTCCTGTGAATTGTTTGGTCGCGTTGCTAGGGAAAGCATAACAATGCGCATCAAATTTCATAATTTGCCTTAGCGAAAATTATGACATTTGATGCTCGTTCGTTTTGAGATTTAGGTCATAGAAATTTAAAGCCCTCCACGTGTGAACCTCTTGTCCAATAGGAAAACAGCTAGAAAAGCTGAATTTTGACACCAGGTATTATAACAAATTGAATGGTTTATGGAGGGGAAATGATGGTCCGTAATTTTTTGGATTTTTTTGCATCTGTTTTGGTTAGAGCAGAAAGAGAAAAAAAAGTCGATCAACTTACTCATAAGAATGCCTCTGCCAGGAAAAATATTTCTAAAATTAAACTTACATGGCAATGAACTGACTAACGGAAACCAAACTATTTTAATGCTTTATTCTAATTATTTCCCGTGCCGTTGTACAATTGAAGCAGAGAGTAATCTGGTAATACCTCTTGCAACCGAAAACGATGTTGAATCCCTTGTGACCGTTACATTGCAATTGTTCAAAAATATTGCATTAAATATCAGATTGTTAAATTCTCGAATATATAAGGTGAAGATCTCAAAACTTTGGTTCACGCGAACGAAATATTACAGAATTACGAAATATTTTGAATTTTTCGCTAATCGCTTTTGTATAATTATGTGTTTGAACGTCTCCTTGACTAACTCGCTGGCTCCACTAGAGTATAAAATTGTGGACCTTCGATTGCAACAATAACTATAGTGCTTCTTGATAAAAATACTAGAATGTTATAAAAAGAAAAAAACCGGTTGTTTGGGTTACCTGAATTACTTGTTTTTGTCACCATTGGAGAGCGGGTAAACGGGACGTTAACTAAATAGACAAATTCATACATGTTTGTTAATTAACATGTGCAGTATACAGCTGATTCAATTAAGTTTGTGACAGGCAATAGGGAAATGTAAATTGTAAGCGCGAACAGTGTCATGCATTCAGTGCATTTGATTAACTAACGCATCGACATATTTTGAATGGTGTCGTTAATGGACGCTAATTATTCTATTATGTTATCATTCGACCAAACAATGACACTATGCGAACAACAGAGTACAAAAGACACATATGAAAAATGCGGTGATTTTGCAATTCCCAAAGGAACATGTGCATTTATCACAATATAGTTTGTGGTTGCACTTTGCAGGCGAGCAAACAGTTAGATTGATAAATAGTGCATTTGGTAGATATTCGGTTCCAAAGTCATGGAAAATTACGAGGAAGAAAGCGTTAATATCATGTTAAAAGTTACACGGCAAGGTAATAAAAGGCAGAATGACACATATACGTGTCAAAACGTCGACATTTTTAACGATGTGAAAGCGCTACGTGGGTTCCTGTTCAAGCAGTTTAAAGAGGAACTTGCACCAGCAATCGATGCTGATTCATTTCGGTTATTTCTATAATACAAAACAACGTGTATTCCACATTACCGCTATACAGTATAATAACAGCCTTAAGTTCATCCTCACACTATTCCCACGAGATGATTATATTTATACTCAACAATGCTTTTCCAATAACAACTTCATTTGTTGCATAATTATGCATAAAATGCCATCAATCCCTTCATGCCTCTTGCGCGTGGAATATAAATTAGGCTATTGCCTGTCACAAACTTAATTGAATCAGCTGTATACTGCCGGAACTGGCGATATACTGCCTGCGTGCAATCCAAGACTTTTAAAAGGAAGAAGGTCCTTTCTTCATTCTGTCCCATCTTCCTTCTCTAAGTCTGGGACTGCGCGCAGGTTGACGATATAACTTCGAAGGGGCCGGCTGTTTATATCAATGAGCCAGCCCGGAAAACGAGATAAACTTGCTATCACTGTTCATGTGAGGGAATTTCATTCCGCTTGCCCGGTTAGAGCTCGAGATTATTTACATTGTGTTAATTGATTGGCTTTGCGTTAAAAGTTCATATCACATTATCCATTAAAATACGTTGCCACCGTTTGTAGTTTTCAAAAATAAAAAAGAAGCGGTAAAAATATAAAATATATATAAAAATTGGTGCCATGCACCTCGGCAACCGGGCCAGCCCGCTTGGTATGTTAATGTGAAAACATTCTCATCTCGCTAAGCGCCGGAGATCTCGCCTCTTCGATCTTCGGTCCATCGATCTAATTTGTAACTAATTTGCATAACATAAACCAATCCTTTCGTATTCCGTAATTCACTAAAAATTCCAGAGATGCCACAGCACTGAAACACACGTTCACACTGTGAGTACGTTTTACAAAAGTCTATTATAGTGCACTTTACCTTTAACTGGAATTCCAAAGATTCCGATGCGTGCTACCAGTAATAAGACAAGTATAACAATTTCTATCTTAAGGTGCAACCTATGGAAATTGAGAATTATTTTCAGGCAGGGATCAAAATAATTTTGGGTACATTAAACGCTACGTACATTTTGGGCAAAACCATGAACCAGGATGTGATAACTATATGACTTGAGGAATCGCAGCGACGTATATAAAAGTTCGATTCCTGCCGAGGATATTCCTTTGTAGAGAGGCTCATGCAATGGACAAAGATTTTTTCTTGAGACTAGTTGAATCACGTCTACACCTATGCAATGATACAAGGAAATCACATGAATAATAATCAACGGGATGCTCACGACACTCATATACTGATCTTCAGTTATAAAGGATTTCGAATGAATGGTGCCTCCGCTATCCTGCTATCCTTTAACTATTACGCTGCCTTTTGCGACAAGACTCTGCTAAAAACTCTGAGGCTGTTGTTTAACAGCATTGGACAATATTATGATATCCAGGCATATTGTTCACACTTGTCAACAACCTTTGAATAGTAATATTGTTGATAATAATATTGTCGCGCTCAACGGAGGAGATTAACGCTTTCTAATCGTTTCTTTTGGGATTTCTGTTTAAAGTGGTTCCCTACAAACTGAGGAATATTCACAAAACTCATGATTTCGATTCAAAACTTTCGCAGAAGATTTTACATACTTACGCATTTTACTCAAAAACAAGTTCGCTTACCCTCCTTTTTTATTTTGAAAAACGTTTCCTTACAAGGAATAGAAAATCTGAATGATTTTTCATGATAAATATTTTTTGGCATTACAGAATTTTTTAAAATTTGTTCAGATTTTCCATTTTCTTTTCCGTAAACGTTTTATAAAATAAACAAGACGCCAGCTTAGGCGTACACTCGTGCTCTGTGACTGTGTTCTAGCAATTTAATAGCATTACCTGAGGGACACAATAATAGCGTGTTGTGGTAACCTATAGCGCAAGTTAAGGCTTTGTGGTGACCCTGGGCCTGGGAGGATAGTATTATGGTAATTTACAGTTGTTACGGTATTTTGTGGGCATTTTTTTCCTGGTGCAATGTCAATTATATTGTATCGAAGTGACAACAGCATCATGATCAGAATAATAAACGTTACTACAGAATTTCTAATTGTGTGGAACGAAGTAAAATGATACATTTACATTATTATCGCAATTCACAAATACCGATTATAGGTAGCCTAACAATCCGCACGGCGTGACATATTACTGCATGTGTCAATAATTCCATATTGACTGCAGACTGCAGTGTTTTAGTTCTGACGAGAGGTTTAAAAAAACTAGTTGTAATACTATTGATTCGTATTGTTTGTAATTTCGTAATGTCAGTCGACGGTTCAAACATTTGGGTATTAATAAGTATAATTTATAAGCATCTGTACGTCTAAAACTGCGAAAACATCGATCATAAATCTTGCTTTCATATAGGAATTTAAAAATATATCGCACCAAGGCCCGGAATATGCATGTAAATGTTGCACCGTAGTAATTTCTTCTGTGCATAATTATATATTTTGCATCCTTCGTATTGTTTGTAAAATGCGGTTTGTATTGTCAGATAATTATATCTCGTAATATACATCGCGCCAATCAATATGCATGTAAATGTTGCAGCGTAGTAATGTCTTCTGTGCATATATATTTTGCATCCTTCGTGGATGCAAAATATGTGTAAAATGTGGCTTGTATAGTGGGATAATTACATTTCGTCATACATTACTGGGTCAATTGCGCAATGCATTCTGGGTCATCGAGGTCCAAAACGCGACCTACACACGACGAAAACTAGACTCATGCTCTCCTAGAGCACGAGTAAAAGTTGGGGCACTTGAACTTTTTATTTAGTAAAATGCGTAAATGTGTAAAATATTGGGCATATTTAATCACTATTATTATCATGAACAACGGCAATGACGTCATACTTATCTCTTTTCCTTTAGCAAGAAATCTCCTGCGAAAATTTTAAATCTAAATCACAGTTTTCAATATTCCTAAAATTGTAGGAAGCCACCTTAACATTTCCTCCATTTCCTGTTTTTGCATAAATTGCTTAGATTTACTGCGGCATCCTAATTGCGTTTGTATTGTTTCCATATTAGGCGGTAGTAAGATGTTGTTCAGAGAAATTTAAGCTTCATTTTGTATTCGGCCTATTCAGAGGGTTAGTGGAGTTATATAATTACTACGGCGTGAGCGAAATAAATAGTAATATTTGATATGTGTATGTTACCGTATTTATCTACGTCACAGTTTTGTCTCGCAAGAGTTGTGGTGCACAGCTTTAGCTAATTTTCCGATGCGCGATTCGATTTCGCTCGCATGATACGGCAATTCCTCCAAGAAGAACAAATAAACCGTTCTTTTTATGCTGTTCGATTAAGTTTAGATTTGGGTCAGAGTATATTTAATACATGTAGATTCTGGTCCTATTTTAATAATATCGCTGCTATTTCGCCGTTTAACAAGATGTGGTCGTGTATGGGCGCGTTGACACGTCGCAGTTTGCACAGGATTGAAGAGCAAATTCCAAAGGAAGAGCAAATTCCAAAGGCAAAGTGTAAGACAAAGTGAACGTATCATGCGGTTTATTTACATTTTTGAACAATTGAACTTTTATACTTTTTACAGTACGACGTGCTTCTGAATTTCGCGATCAAACAACATTTAGGTTGGCAAGCATTTAAATGAGTATTAACTGTATTGTTTATGTTCCGAAGCTTGAAGACTGGCACGTGAACGGCACGCCAGAGTTAACGCCAGAACAGGCCACTTGTTATAATTTGATTTTGAAATGTATAGCTATACAATGATTAATGATACCTATCAAAACATGAAAAACTTATACTGCGGGATCGAGGAGGGATTTAGAATTTAAATACCCTCATAAGTAAACACATTCGCTTTTCTGAAAGGATTTCGACATCAGAGTTAAATTTGCTGCGCTTAAACAGGATTTGGATGCACATTAAATATCACCAATAAATTTTGAAGCAACTGAACATTCACAATTCACTGAATTTGTGCATTTAAACCGATTGGCCGAATCCGCACAGACTCACTACTATCACTATATGGTGGTATCTAACGTTAACAGTGGAAATTTGCCAAATTTCAATCATCCTTCCGTTTGTTGATTTCAAAGAGCTTTAGTTACACCCATGCATGCGTATATCTAAACCTGTGACATACTACGCGAACTGTATTTCTAGTCATCAACAGCTTAGTGTTTTCTATTTCTGCCCGAATAATTTGAACGCTTTGAAATGACATTTAAAAAGCGATCAAGAGAGTGTCTGGTCTGAAATATTTTGGTGTTAACGCTTTCGTATATAAGCGATGCCGATGTTCATTTTCCAGATTCTTCCAATTACGCCTAAATAATTTATCATGTACGTATCGTATGTATATAATACTCACTATAACAGTTGAATATCAATAATACATCGCCTTATAATATGAATGTTAGCTGTATTTCACAGCCAACATTTCTTGTTTATATCAACTTGACAAAGTATAACGTTAAGTAGCCACTCACCACCATTATGCACAACCTTGCAGATAACGCCAGTTGATATAAAACTTATAGTGGCAACAATTTATTGGAACACTGTTAAGAAATTTTCTTAACCGCGAGCAATAGCCTTTGCCCAGAACTAAACGAGAAACTTGCGAAAATAGTAATTGTTACCCTCGTCACCCGATCTGACTGCTTAGTGGGTTTCCTAGCAACTGAATAACGTAGCAAAACGAGGATTTTGACCTTGAAATTGGAATATTTTTTTCTAAATATTTTAGTTCATAGCTCTCCATGAAACATGGCGAAAGGTTACGAAAATGGGAACACAGTTCATTATTAAAGCCAAAATTATATCGATTTCAGGAATTTTACCCAGTAAAATTGTCTGAAACCTAATACTTGATGATGTTTTATGTCAAGTTCACGTTTCGATGATGTTGATTTATATAAAATTTGATGACAAAGCAAATTCATATTAATGTTGATGCAAATATGAGGCGATGTTATAATCATTCATCTCATGACAGAGTTTAGCCCCGTATAAACAAAACCTTTGTATAACAAATCCGCACGCATATTTGAAATAGCTTGTATGTTGTGTATTTAGCAATTAGAAGCCCCATGAGAGCTATTGTGTGTAAATTAGTGTTAAGCGCATAAAACATACTATTATATCCGTCTGAACCAGTGGTCTGAACTTTGAACTTGAATTTTGGTTACGAGACTGTTTGGAGAGTAATCCATATGAGACCGTACGGAGCACGCAAATTTTACATCCACAGCGATGACAGTAAATCAAACTAAATATAATTTTCAGTTTGACGCTCTGCCTTAATAAACCATTTTTAAAATTTCTAAAAATAGATTCGTTCTCTTGACGCTTGAACCAGGTATATTCGTTTTATTCGTTTCTGAAATAAACATACCACGACCAATCTTCTTTATTCAGCGCCACTTAAATTCCCTCGTATCTGTGTGAGAATTAAATAATAATTATTAAAAAAAATATTTACCAGTTTGGTCATCCGCATTGCGAATTATTTTTTGGTCACAAAGAGTAATAGAAAAAATCTGTAAGAGGACGTAAAATCTTTTTCAATGCCCTTTTTTCTGTTGAAAACGACTAAAAAGGTGTAAATATTTTAGATATTGCAAATTATCGGTAAAAAATTCACAATTAAATGCTTACTTTTTGAAAAACGATTGAGTATTTATTCATCCGGTTCCGTCTGGCAGATTTCTTTTGAAAACGCATATACGTGAAAAAGAGATCCTTCCACTGGCATAAAAAAACACCGAATACTCGCTCCTAACGGTCTTGCGAGAATATCTCGCAACACTTATCAAAATAAAGCTATGTTACCAAGAATTTGCTGCTTGAACGCACGCTGAATTAACGGAAATGTTGGTGAACTCACAGCATTTATGTCGCTCAACAAAGTTCATACGGGTGCAATTACTGAGTCGTCCTTGAGATTGGGACGATGAGATATCGATTAGTGGTATGTAATTGATCATCAGGACCGGACGTATGCTCGTGGAGGTAGGCTGTGGTATATTTTTTTAGGTGATTTCAACCATCTCAATGTACAGAATTAGTTAGTAGTCACAACCTTAAACAAGTCGTCACACTTCCGACTAGACAAAATTCAATCCTGCACTGTATTAGTACAAATCTAAAATCGTTCTAAAAAACACGGGATATTTTTGCTCCACTTGGGACAACGGACCATAATGTAGTCATATGGATCCCAAAAGAAATTTCTAAAGAAACAATAATACCTGTATTAAGCGGACTGTGCGTCGATATTCCCAGTTGGGTTTGCATGAGTGGCTTTGGTGTATGGTCAACCAGGAATGAATGGTTTAGAGAACTTGGGATCGTCTCATCGCCAGATTAGTGACACCAATGATGTGATCTCTGCAATCGATAATTTTTTTCCAGTGAACACAATCAGAATTCATCCAACGGACAAACCATGGATTACTGCATGGGTACATAAAGCATGCTGGCATTAAACGCCAGCATGCTTTCCATACTGGTGACGCGCAATTGTACGTGGTGCCAACAAAGACGGAGGGTCCAGATGAGAAAATATCAGGAAAAATAACTTTTGTACCCAAAAAGGTGGGATACTATTAATGTACTAACAATGTCAGGCAGAGTGAAAAATCAACCTTAGAGTTGGCAACCTTGAGTTAAAATCTTTTATTGCCTCCAGAATGGAGATTAAATAATATTTACAAAAGTTTAAACTAAGTGTAATAAATCCTAATTACACAAAAAAATACTAAAAATATCTTATCTAATGAAGAACGGATCAAAAACTGAATTTTGTACACAGTACGAAATATACTTGGCACACTCTATCTTAAAGTCATCATTAATACAATTATCACAACTACTCAGTACGCAGCGGTTCCCTAATAAGAATCTAATGAACAGCTGATCATCTAAAGTATGCAAGTTCAAAAATGTTACAAACGGGAGATTGTCCGTACACCACGACCAGAATTTCTCTCTGACTTCTTCAGTCTTTTTACAGAACAATAAAGCATTATGAACAGAATTACTGAAAAAACCTCGACAGGCTGAACAGATACCACTTAGCGTTCCAGCATTTCCGAATCTATCATTTCTAATCGTCAGTGATCCACACAGGAGCCGTATGATATCTATAATCTGCTTTGATTGTACGTAGTTCCACAAGTCGTACCATTTATTCGTTGAAATAGATGGTTGGCAGCAAAAGTAGAACTCTAACTCTGGTTTCTTTCCTATTCTGTCAACCCATTCGCCATAGTTCATAAACCGCCTTTTTTACAACATTTTTCTAAACGTTTTTTGTTGGGAAACAATCTCTTTCCAGAAAGTCTGTAATATAGCCCATTAAATTTACATCAACCAACACCTTAATTATATCAGGGATAAACCGAGACATAATAAAATTGTTCTGTTTCCATTTCCATTTAATAAGCTTTCTGATAAAGAGCTTCCTGTAAGCCAAAGAAGAACCTGAATTTATAATTCTTCCCAAGAAGTACAATTTACGTTTTTTTAATTTCGGTCGTTATATTGGGCAGTTCTAAAAGACCTCTTGCAGCTGATCCTGAAGAGCCCAGAATCAGAAACTGCGAAACTCTGCAGAAAACATTCAAAACTCACATCCGTATTACATATGTGGAAGAGGCACAGTTTTCCATAGTCAGGCTGTGATCTTTGGATTGAGACCACCTGTTTGACAGCCGAGCTTTGCTAATTTTGCCACTGCTTCTGCTTCGAAACCTCTCTGCACTGCCTCGCGAACTATTTTGGTGCTATCCGTTTCAGTGTGGCATATCTTCCCTAGGTTTCTCCATATTTCAGACTCCCTTAAAAAATCATCACCCAATTACCATATTCTTTCTGTTGTAATACTGGATTTCTTCCTGTCACCAAATATCATTATAACTGTTTTCTTAATGTTAAATTCAATCTGCCACTTTTTGCATACCCATAGAGACAACACAGAAGCCGATCCAACTCTTCTTTCATCCTTGATAACATAGTCAGGTTGTCAGCAAACATATGTGCTCCAAAAAACTTACCATATAAACATACACTCCCAAAGGTGTTTTCTAGTTCATGAATCAAATCATTAATATACACCAAAAACAACCAAGGGGACAAAATCGATAAGGACGAAGAAGATGATTTGAACCTGATAGAATCTTGTAGCGAGAGAAGGCAAGTATTTTAATAATAGTTTTGACGGATATTATTTTGTCGCAGCGCATTAAGAGACATCAGATATACATGTAACTATACTGCAGATGCAACTGCCAACAGCGATGTTTACATCTCACTTGTCATGAGATTCGATCCATGAACTAATATATAATTTGGGAAATAGTAAATAATGAAGCTAGTACATTTTAAACAACCTTCAAAGATCTGTAATGAATACTAATATCTTACCACATTTACACGTGGCTGGATGAATTTGGGACTGGTGTACACGTCAAGTAAAATTAATGACGTTCCAAATAGCTGAAGAGCCGTGACGGGTTTCATATTTCTGATGCGCAGGCGGGGAATACAATAATGCATGCTAAATATCTGATTCGGTCGAAACAACGTTTATGTCTACTTTATATTATGTTTCACATTTCGTTGCTTGGCTAAGTTGCTAAACTGGTGTGTTAGTAGGAAACTTTGTAGTGTTTTTATATAATATTCGATGTGCGTTTAAGGGCTTTTTTATATGACAAGCATCACTACTTCCGGTGATAAAGAGCCCTGGGTAATAAATGTAAGCCATTTATTTAGAAGTCCAAATAAAAATATTTTTTGAATGTTTAAATTGGGTGAGGGTGATGAGGATTTTGAAGAAGACGATGTGGATCTAGGACGGGATAATGATTTAGTGGAAGCTGTTGGTGCAAAGAACCGATCTCCGATTGGAAGACAGGCTGATACTCCTCGGTTAACTAGACGGAAAGGGTTGATAGGTCCAGGAGAGCCAATAGACAAAGTACCAGATCTATACCAAAGGGTGGAAATAGCGGTATTACTGAAAATTATAAATGATATGATGATGCAGATGTCAAGAATTTCCTCCCTCTTTGTTTAGCGAAGCGCCCCAGCGAGTTAATTTTGATGGTCTTGTCTAATGAAACGGAGATTTATAGATAAATAAATAATTATGTCGCACGCGAGGATTTGTTCTGAATTAACGATTGTAAGACAACTCTATATGCGTTCTGGATTAACCTGTGAAAGCAGGTGAAAAACCTGCTGCATCCTATTTTGAATTTCTACACCTGCGACACGGAATCCCACCAACGACACCTAATCCCGCATATACTACAACTGTGTGGCCACAAATCCTAACGTCCTAGCCAAAATCCTCATTTCAAAAATATTTTGGCAACATTATTCGCTTCTGATAATTCAGCATATCATTACGTTAGGTCAAGGACTGTCCCACTGGTTCTAAATCTGAGTAAACTTTAAGCTAAGTTTAGGCTTCGGGCTATGGTAATATTTTGGTGTTCATTGACTGTGAAAACAATAAAAGATAGCATTTAGAAGATTTGTGCACGATATTCTCTTCTGTGACTTGTTTTCGTGCTTATAGTTATTCGTTGAAAGACAACTTTGATTCACACGTTTTTCAATCAAAATAAGCAATAAACCATCTCTTGGTGCAAAAGTAGATACATTGCATACAATTATAGGTGGATATAATCTTACCTTGTGCTACTGTTGATGCAACTGAAGATAATAGCTACTATTATTTTACTTCATCTCCGAGAAACATGCACCAACACCTGTATAATTATAGCCGGCCATGAAAATGAGTACAGTTAGCTTAAATGTCTCTTGAGTTATCCTGCCCGGAAATCGAAAAACTTGGATTTTCGTTTGCTTTTGAAGCATGAGATGGTGTAATCAACGTGTCCTGCGCTAGGAAAGACCTGTGATTTGTGAAAACATGCATAGAAATCAATTTGCTGCCAAGTTTCCTCGAACGAATTACCCCGAACCGGCGCAAAACTCCGTGCGAGGATACTAATTCCGCTTGGTGATTTATTACACCCGGGTACTTCAACAGAACAAAGCCGGATCCAATCGTCCTGATCACCGCGGAAAAACGTCTGCGCGTGCGTAAATTCTGTCTGTTATTGGCATTGAAAAGCGGTTACGAACGTTTCCGAAGGCTTAAAAGGCGTTAATTGATGATTAGTACAATTTCGAAAATAAACTCCCTCTAAGGAAGTAAAGTGTTAAAGTCAAACATTAACTTGTAACTTTTTAAGAGGAAAGTGGTGCGTCAAGTAATAAAATCCCTGAAGGGGTCCCATCAGCCTCCGAATGTAGAATTAGTGAAAGATCCAGGCCATAGGAAGCTGTCATTAAAAATTACAAACCCCGAATAATAACAAGACTAATATAGCAACAGTAATAGCAAAAGTAGGTAATAGCAATAGCAATAGCATATCAGTATACTTATGCTCGGCACATCGTTGTTCATAGTGATCATTAGCCTTCATGAAGTAACCTCTTAGAAGAGCGCCTTTGATGAGGATGATCACCAGAGTCCAGAAATATATGACTTTACACTGGTGTATTTGGCAGACATTCTTTCAAGACACTGTCTCACTACGGCTGATCAAGAACCGATTACAATACATCAAGCAGAATACGATGTGTGTCTCTGCGATTCTGTTCTCTCTAATTTTTGAAACTCGACTTGATCATGTAGTTGTTTCAACAGCCACGTCATTGTAAAACGCTTCAGACTTTTTTAATTTCACGCCCCAATATCTTTCCCCCAGTCCATAATACGTCCATCGCATGTATAGCTCCTTCAGCAGAGAAAGTAGTGCAACGCTGGGGAGGGATCAGGTGCCGGTTGTACAAAAGCCGGTTAACTTAACCCTGGATTAATTGAAGCAATTCTTCACAACAAGTTTTGTTTGTTTACAACGTAAAATAACTTTTTCCATAATAAATATATGTTATTTACCAGATTGGAGGTCCGCGTATAGGGAAATATTTCCCAATGTCTCAAAACAGCGTTTTTGACAGACTGAGGGAAATATTTCCCTATACGGACCGACTGAACTGGTATATAATAGACTTTTTTTTTTCTTTTAGTCCGAATTCATATTTTAGCGTTGGCTCTGTGCTTTTAAATCTCGAGCGGTTCGTATATACGGTTTCATATATGGACCGCTCGCGTAGCCAATCAGATTGCAGGAAACGCTAAAATATGAATTTGGACCGCAAGAAAAAAAATAATTATTGATATTTTGTAAAACGAACAGAGGTTTAGAAGCGCAAAAACAGCGCCGAGCTTAGAACAACGGCATCCTGAAGAATTTGATTTTTTGAGGAAAGATTTCAGCACTCTTTGAGAGATTCTAGTTTTGAATTCCGATAGACAACGCTTACATGCACCACGAAGGATGGCAATTGGTGGAATATATAATTTTACCATTTCAACCGTACAAAACCTAGCTTACATGCAGTAGCTACCATTCTCCAATAAAAAAAATCATACGCATATTTAAGGCGGACAAGATGTATAAAAAGCCTGGATACATTGCAAGTTTCATAATTGGATATTGGCTCTCACTTTTCAGTCATTTAATATGATTTTAGAATTTGAAAGTACGATTTCCATTTCTGGAATAATTATACTAATGCAATTTAGGAATATAGCTATTCAAGCATGGATTGTGTTAATGCACGCTTTCGATTGTTAGTGGTATCTTTTATAAATATCTGATTTCCAAAGCTACATTTTTTATACATCCTGTACATATTGCCTTTTCGAAAGATTAGAATTTCTAGCAGTAAACGCGAAACTTATCACTGGTGGTACATATGTGTTATATTACGTAGAGTATAATGAATAGCGTGCATAATTAAAGAAATTGTTTGTGTTGCTCTAAAAATGGGTTACTGAGCAAATCGTTTATGCCATAATTTTTCAAAGTGCATTGATTTATCTTTAAAATTCAACAATTATGGTATTCGCTAATAACGACGCTATCTTGAAGAAGGTGTACTATAGGTCATATCGTATCATTTATATACTCGAAAATTCACATTGATTATATTCTTGACATTGACATTGACAAATTAATGAATATGCCAGCATTGCTGAGTATTGTCAGCGAAAGATTATAGTACATTTTCAAATCAACTGAATGGCATTAAATGTAATTTAAAGTCACGTTATTTTTTGTAATTTGCAATTTTTTAATCATTTAATCATTTGTCACAACACAATACAATTATTACGCATATACATGTACAATAACAGAGGACATAAGTGTGACAGAGGAAAGGAACAGGACTTGCGTCCCAATTGAAACCTGACCCCAACATTATAACTGGACTTTACATTACACAAATAACACTTATTTTAGATTATAACTTATAAATCTAAGTAAAGCCAGGAGGGCTGTAAGAAGTTAACTTAGAAACATAATAATTACGAATACTAACGCTGAAAGAGTTAAGCGAGCCACAGGTTTTTAGATCTGCTGGTAGACTGAATTTTTTGGTGCATTATTAATAAAAATTCGTCCTTTTCAGCACTGACGAAGTTCTAAGCTCTATTTTTTTTTAATTGTCTAAAAAAGTATAGCCACTTTCATTTTTTATTTATTATTTCATAATTTTTGTTTTGCTTCTCCTAGCTTTATCAAAAATTGTCACTTAAAACGTTAAATATAGATTTTTTGCCTAATTATTATACATGTACAGCCCATCAAAAAACTAAATTACCACAGTAAATTCAAATAGAACTGGAACGATAACTCCACAATAAAGACCAGTAATTAGATGAAGCCGATTTGAATATAATTTGCTGATTATCGCGGGGCCGCGCGATTCAACTGGAATTTCAACTCTTCGCCATCATCGCGGCCTTCAATTTTTGTTTCAAAATGGTGGCCAAGTTATCGTTCCAGTCATTAGGAGTTCACTGAATTACCCTAGATCACCCAAAATGCATTGCGTTAAACATGAAATTCAAGATTGCGTCGCTATTGCTTTATATTATGTTAATTAGTAGTAAGTTAAACACTAGTATATGAGTTAAAATATTATCAGTATACTGCTTTAAAACAGAATAATAAATTGAGATGAAAGATATTATATAAAATAACTCACTTGCCGTAAAACTCGCGTTGTACTTATTGTCTCCTTGCGTGTTGGTGAAAATGTGATTAGAAAGCGAAAAGGTGGGTTAAATAGCTCTGAAGTCATGTAATAATTTCTAACCATGACTCATATAGAGCTAATAAACATGTTAACCTCGTATATGTTTTATATTACACACAAATGGTGATATCGTACAGCGCGGATCTTTTCACAAGAAAGGTGAAGTGCAAAATTATTCTATCAATTATCAGTGATAAAGTTTAATATTGAAATTTCGCTGAAGACGAAAATGTTTGATCTACTCGTTTTATTATCTTTGGGTTAATTAAATCTGGGCCGGGAGATTTATTGTTAGGTAAAGATAACACCACTCGACGAACTTCATAACAAGATACCGCCCTAAACGAAAATTGATCGTTTTCCGGTATATAAACTTTTTCATAGGGTTCCTGCAGAGCGATGTTATTAGCAGCTGCTAGATGAATAGATTTCTTTGCAGCATTTTCACCAACTGATGAAAAAAATTGGTTGAATTCGTTTGCGATAGATTTGTGATCTTTGGTGTAAATTTGTCTCTCTTGGCTCTTTGATGGTACCAGACGGTTTATTATTTTCCAGATAGACCTCGGGTTATCTTTGTGTTGCTGTACTTCATTAGAATTATGTTTATTTTCTGCCTTCCTGAGAGCTTTTTTAATATTATTTCGGTAGATCTTGTAATTTTCCCAGTCCTTAGTGTCACGCGTAATTAGAAATTGATGGTGTAATTGGTCTCTCTCTTTCATTTGGTTTCTAAGATTTTGTGTGATAAAAGGGCAAGGTCGATTACGAATCGCTGTTGTTTTAATCGGTGCGTGAACATCTAGTGTTGATTGCACAACATGGTTAAAGCGATGGAGTTTGTTATTTACATCTTCCTCTTCCAAAACGGATAAGAGGGAGTCTGACTTTCTAGCTAGATCGGTGAAGAAGTCATTAGGTACATAGTTTTTGTAGCTACGCGTAGTGATATATCTTGTGGCTTGTCTAGGAGGTTTAAGTTTGAGTTCCGCGTACACTGGCAAATGGTCGCTGATAGATGCGTTTAATACCCCACTTCGGCTAACTAACGACTTCGACGACACTATGATGACATCTAGCAATGAACAAGTTGAATTCGTGATCCTTGTTGCGGTTTCGATGATTTGGGTAAGGTTCATTTCATTTAAAAATTTTTCAAGAGATTTATACTCTGCGCAACCACTCTTCAATGCATCACAATTTAGGTCTCCTAGGATCAGGATTGGTTTGTTTAATAATAAAGCTTCCATATAGTTTGGCTTAAGAGCGTCTTCCAAACAGTTCAAGGGACAGTCAGGTGGCCTGTAAGTTACACAGATTAAAAACGATTTGGATTTTTTATACTGAACATTTATCCATTGTTGGTGGAAGTTGTCTTCAGAGATAGAAGACAGAGACTTTATGACAGATGCTTTAAGTTCTTTACGAACATACGTGCACACCCCTCCACCTCGTTTATGAAGGCGGTCTAATCTTAAAAGATTGAAACCTTCTATTTTTACTTCAGCAGACGATACACTTGTATTTAGCCACGTTTCTGATATTGTTAAGATATCAAATTTTTCATTTCGCGTCAGTTCTCTCATTTCGGTGAGATGTACATTGTTCCTAAGCGAGCGGATGTTTAAATGAGCCACTTTAAGCCTGTTGTTTTTTAAGTTATACCTCGAATTCTGGATTCCTGATAAACTTGGTGACTGAGTTTTGGACATAGGAATTGGGATTAGATTATTTAAGTTTCTCTTTTTTGAATTAGTGCAAGATAATATACCAGGGCGTCGTAAAGAAACTATAGGGATTTGCTTGCTGACTTTATTCTGCCGTGTTGATGGGTTAATCAAGTTATTATTTGACTGATGGAAATATCTTCGGGAGGAATGAGCATATGTGTCGTGTCAGATATTACATTCTGGTTATCTGGCTGACTAATTGTAGGTGTTTGTGCCAATTGTTTGGTCGGTGATTCGAACGGCCTGTCCGAAAATCCCTCTTGCTCGATCGCCAGTGATCATTCGGGGACACAGGGTCGTTACGAGGTGTTAGATTAAATGAAAAATCTCTGGGAGGTAAGCGAACCATCCGCTCAACGTGTTGATTCGTTGACATGAAGCCTTTATCTTTATTTTTATTCGGAGAACTCGTCCAAGAAAACCTCTTACTCACTGGCTGTGAGTCGTTTGATTCAATCAAAGGTAGGCGTCCCACCCACTCAACGTTCTGTTTCACTGTCTTATGCCCTTTATCTTTATGTAACGATTTTTTGCTTGGTACATAGCCGTAGTTATATTTGCTAGTTTTCATTGTAAATTTTTCTTTATGAGTTTGAACGTTTGTTTGATGTTCTACAGATATATCCTTATGTTGGCTCTCACTTAACGATAAGGAGTCTGTCCATTTGGTTTGTTTTGGATCCATTTGGTTTGTTTTGGATCTATATCGCAGCTGATTAAATTTGAGTTCTCTCAGTATAATTTTGTTCGCTTGTTTAAATTTTGAAAATGCTGCAGTAACGTGAAAATATTTAGAATAAGGAATATACTGCCAGAGAAAAATGTACTGATCAAGGAGTGCAAAATAACTCCTCCAGAAATTAAAACCCTGGGGCCAGTTGTTCGAAAGGCGTTTAAGTCGCTATCCACCGTTTAACTCGCTATCCACCGTATAAAATTTAAACGCTTGAAAAATCGCATTGTTCGTAGCCCGTTTAGCGCTATCCAGCGATTAAATTTTGCCTATCCACTGTATAAACTTAAACGGTCTCTCGAGACCGTTTAAGTCGCTATACGGTGGATAAATTGTTGTGTTTTTTAAATTTTATATAAATTATTTATAAAATGGCGTTGTATAGATTACCAGGCATATATATTTACGCGCTTCCAAGAGTAAATAGACACGCTGATAGGAATTTCCGACGTGAAATAGACGACGTACTATTGTATTATAATGATAATGAGTTACGACAACGCTATGGCTTCGGTAGTGAAACCATTAGATATATAACTCGTCTCGTAGAAGATGACATACAACCTCAAACAAACCGTAAATAACCATCCTGTTTCCGCCATATGACCAGTGTTGATAACACTTAGATTCCTAGCCTCGGGAAGTTTCCAGCAAGTTACAGGGGACACAGTCGCCGGTTTAGATAAGTCTACTGTGAGTAGAATTATTCGTCGGGTTACCGTAGCTTTGTCACGGAGAATAGATCAATTCATAAGATTTCCTAATTCACAAGAAGAGCGCGATGCTACAAAGCAAGGCTTTTACGAGATCGCTAATTTTCCATGTGTGATCGGTTGTATTGACGCGACGCACATCCGAATAATTGCTCCTAGTGACAACGAATGGGATTTTGTTAATCGCAAGAGGTACCATAGTATCAATGTTCAAGGCATTTGTGATTACAAAGGTAAGTCATAAATTTTTAATATTGAATGTCAATGACTGTATCACTGCAGTATGTAAACACTTTAAAGTGTAAACAAAAAATTCTTCAAACGAATTCCTTATAATTTTCGTTTATGAGAGGGCAGTTCCTTAAAATTCCTCATAGGGGTCTGTCATAAGGGTGTGAAAAGGGCAACAGGGTAATGGCAGGGCAAGAGAGAATAACAAGACATTTAGAGACTAAATTTTTACACCATATTGAGAAGAAATAAAGGGGGTTTAACATAGTTTTTCTTGCAGGAAAATTTACAAATGTTGTTGCCAGATGGCCTGGATCCACCCATGGCAGTCACATCTTCCGTACCTCGCATATTAACCATGAGCTGGAGGAAACCAATTTTGAAAATGGTGTGCTCATAGGCGATAGTGGCTATGTATGGTTGCCGAGTTGTAGCAAAATTCAATACAGGCAATTTATATGCAATACACTGTTAAAATATTCAATAAACTCATATAATATTCAATAATCACAAAAATGTTCAATATACCCCTTTGTGTAACATTGTGTAACTGCGTTAAATATTCAATGCGACAGGCGAAATCTTCACTAAATTACACTGTAAAATATTTAACTCGGCAAAAAATATATTCAATAAAATCTCGAAAAATATTCAATAGCTTTGGAACAGCGGTCAGTAGCACCCCCTCTGCTTTACTTGGCCTTTTCACCAAGCGAAGTGTTATTTCAAACATGGCCGAACAAACTTTTGAAAATGAAGAAAATGACAACCCCTCATGGATCGATGTTTTTAACGGAGTTGATCAGTTACTGCAGATGATTAACGAAAAAGTCGACGATGGAAGGATATCCTTTCATGAGGCTTCTTTAATTTTCAACAAGCTTGAGACAGCTTTATCAATGGTTGTAAATCTTACCACATTGGATATCGATTTAACAGAGAACACTAGACTTGTACTACTGCAGCTTTCCCAGTGTTTGACAGAACTACACAACTACTGGGCAACTAGAATAGCTAATATAAGACGAGCGACAGTCACTCTGCCCAATTTAAGAATTGAAAATGTCAGCATGTCAAGTGATCCAGGTAGACCATCTCTATCTATACCAAAGGAAATTCTTGAAGACCTAAGGAATTCTGGGTACTCATGGACTGAAATTTCGAAAATTTTACAAGTATCGAGATGGACTGTACACCGTAGGGTACGGGAATATAATTTGCAACACCTTGACAGATTTTCTGACATATCTGATGATGAACTAGACCAGCTAATCATGGGCTATATATCGAGACATGGCAATACCACAGGTGAATCCTACCTTATTGGCTACATTAGATCTCAAGGTATTCGTGTTCAGAGAGACAGGGTACGTTCTTCCCTAACGCGTGTTGATCCTGAAATACTGCCCTTCGTTGGGCATGCGTAATTACTAGGAGAGTTTATACAGTTCCAGGACCAAATGCTCTCTGGCATATAGACGGTAATCATGCTTTGATTCGATGGAAGTTTGTGGTGCATGGGTGCATAGATGGTTTTTCCAGGCGGATAATTTACCTTCTATGTGCAGACAACAACCGGTCCGACACTGTTGTGAATGTTTTTGCCGCAGCAACTGACGAATTTGGTTATCCATCCCGAGTTAGAGGGGATCACGGAGGGGAAAATGTTCAAGTAGCAAGGTTAATGGAAAGAGAGAGAGGTGAAGGGAGAGGAAGTTTTATTGCTGGGCCATCGACAAGAAATCAAAGAATAGAAAGATTATGGAGGGAGGTATTCCGTTGCTGTCTATATTTATTTTATTGCATATTCTATGCCATGGAGGAAACTGGTGTCCTTGATTTGGACAATAATGTCGATCTATTTCTACTGCATTATGTATACTTACCGCGAATTAATCATTCTCTTCAAGAGTTCGCAGCAGCCTTTAACAATCGCCCCATGAGAACTGAGAACAATTGGAGTCCAGAAAAAATTTGGACAAATGGAATGATAAATCACGCCGTTAGACAGCTTTTAGAAAGGCATGAAATTGAAAACATTGAACTATATGGCGTTGACTGGAATGGTCCTATTCCTGCCGAAAATCAAAACATTGTGGAGGTGGAACCACCGAACTGCCCATTTCCAATTGAGTACCTTCATCAACTTCAAGATCATGTTAATCCGCAACAAGAATCAAATAACTATGGTATAGAACTGTTTACACAAGCGAAAGACTTTCTGAATGAACTGTTCGAATAGCAAAATTGTTAATGTTAGTGTAATTTTTGCAGTTTAAGCTTCGCGTTTTCCGGAAACGGCAAACGGCAGGGCCTGTGCCTAGGGTTTTCGGAAAACGGGTCCATTTGCTCTTTATTGCATGCCTTTGTCGTTACACGTATATCGTAAACTTAAACATTCTAATATAATGTGAACATTTAGTCATCAACGGCTCATCAACAGCTAACAAAATTAGGCAAGCAGAATACAAAAATGTTTTCCAGATGCCACAGATGTAGGATTGCCTTATCGGATTATCTATGTTGAAATTTACAAAATTTCTATTTTCACTATATCTCGTACTACAAACTAAGAAAAAAGGCATCTATAAAAAAAGGTAACAGAATGTAAACGACTTAAAATAGGATACACTACACTGTCAGCTATTGTGCAACAACAGTCGACGACTTTCTATCCATTCAACTTCAAGACTGCATCATAGATGTTGCCAAAAACAGCAATTTAACATAACAACATTAAAGAAACTACTTTTTACTAACAGTAATTAGAACTGGATACTTTAAAGGATAAGTTCAACAATATTCATGGAAGAGAAAACGATTTATCTTTCCTGGTGGTGGAAATTACACCTAACACTGCTGCTTTAAATAGCTCATAACTTTCTTGGCTGAACCTTGATGGAAAAACCAGCTTGAATAGGCAAGTAGACGCAAAAATACTTGCCGCATCTGGTGATACTTCTACGACAATATTTTCCGTTGGTGGGGAAGAACGTAAGAACAGCCCGTTGAAAATTTTATGAACTTATCAATATCTAAAAAAGATACCATTATAGTGATTATTGATATAAATATGCATCGTGAGTTGCTAATCTCTACTTGCGCTCTAGGGGGCTGTTCACATGAGCCCGGTCACAGAGATTGAAATGAGTAAATAACACGATTCTGGTAGTCCTGTAATCATACTCACAATAGCTTGTGATTGTTCTGTTTCAACAAGACTTTTCAGTTCTTCAAAACCATTCCACGCTTCGTTAAATCTCGTTAACCGGGCTCATGTGAACAACTCCTAATTGTTCCATGCAATCTTCTGTTGTCTATAGGTAATTGAAAATTTTTCATGTAATCATTTACCTTCTTCAGAGCATTCTTCCACAAATTTCTGTAACATGTTAAACACTGCCAAACCACTAGCTTCAATCCCAGTTTCTTTCAACTTTAATAATCCCTTTAAATATTCTCGCGTTTTAGTCTTTGCACAGTGAACAAAATGCTGTAAAAACTTGTCTGGATAACGTCTGATAACATCAATTACACCAAGAGTTTTTAGACCACTAACGAACTGCTCCAACATAGGCACATTTTTCACTACAGCGCAATGTGCAATTATTGCTTGGACAACAGAAAGTCTATTTTCATTCTACAAAAGAAAAATATAAAATATAGAATCTATTCATCCCGTTTAATCAGCACAGCAATTCATTTATGTTTTGGCATGTAGAATTAGTAGAAAACAATTAACACTATTAACTTTTAAAACTAAACATAATTGATTCACTAGCATTTAAAATAACCAAAGTAAATTCTGTTGCAGTTGAACTAAATCGATCAAAACTTACTGTGACTTGACATTGCAATCCAGAGTTTGCAAGCACACTTTGAAACTCAGGTGACTGGTTCATTATGTCTAAATCAGACTTTTTCGACATCATGATCTGTTGGTAGAAATACCAAATACTCTCTTTATTTCATTCAAATTTATGATTCAAAAGAAAAACCTAACACAACTGCCAGGCACAACCAGAGGGATGCTTCCAAACAGGGTATTTTGCCCCAGGCAAAAAATCAATGTTAGAAATATGTAGTCCTCTTTTCTAAGTTACACTGATAATAAGTTCTGCCCAGGTTGGTCAGGTAAAGCAATATATTAGGTTTAATATTGTAAAAAATGTAACCCAAAAATGAAGAAAATTACATTTTGCAGCTATTTTGCCCTTGGAATTGCAGTCCTAATGGGAATTTTCCCCCGGCCCCAAATTTCTTCCTAGTACCCCTGATCACAGCCAAAGAAAGCATGTTAGAATAAGTACAGCTGCAAAATGTTCTGAAAAAATATAGCTCTGCAAAGTTCATAAAAGTAAATATTTGTGCACAAAAATATATTTAAAGGGCTGGCTTAAAGCAAACTAAATTAGAGCATGTTTTTTCATGAACTATTATGCTATATGTTTTATATCAACATTATATTGACTTTATTACAATATTTACCTGTTCAACATAAGACTTTATCTCATAATCATGAATGTCATGGATAGATGCATATGCAATGGCTTTATTGATATCTCCAGTGGCAACATAATAATATTGGGAAGGTGCGAGATAGGGAAATCCTGGCCCATTTTGACAAAGACTGTGTGCAATCATGGTGCCTAGCATTTTTGGCATACCACACGTCAATGCAGTGTGGTTGTAGTGGAACTGTAGCTTATCAGAGGGGCCTTCAAAGATACGAACTGATGGGTTGTTGACAAATTCCTTAAAAACATCAGAATAAAACTCACGAAGGACACCACCAGTGTCTACAGCTGGTTGTTGTTTGTACTGGACAATGAATGGATGTGTAGGATCAAAACTAGGATGCTTATATACTTGAAGTGCATCAGATAGCAAGTCCTCTGGATCAATCTTTATCTTTCTTGTATCTTTGCTGATCTTGATACTTAACAACTCAAATACACTCTTGGTTGGAACCTTTTCATCATCTATTCCATCACCTTGGACACTTTCACTTGTGGTGACTGTTTCTACAAAGCAGTCACAAATTATTTCACAAATTTCCTTCTTGCCTATTTCCTGTTCTTTACTCCAAACCAACAAATTTACAAAAGTCACTGTATTTGAAAGAGGATCCAGCTACTGAAAATCATGTAACTTTTTTAAACAAATTTGTTACACTTACATTTGTCCTGAACTAAACAATTTTAATAAATTACAAATAATTAAAAAAAAGAAAAGACCAATCTTAATTGGCCAAATTTATTATAAACAAACTTGTTGGATACACACACTACAAAAACAAGTTTGTTGGGTTGTGTAAAAAACTGGTCAACAAGATGACTATGATACTTTCCGTAATCTCAATGGATCAATAAAGGAAATTATTAGGTTATACCTCCAATTTCAGTTGTAGTATCTAGCCCTTTAATAAGCTGAACATCATCATCTAAAAGATCAGCTATGGAAAGGTCTATATCTTCATGATTTCTTGATAATACTTCTCTGATTTCTGACTCTGTTTTTTGTGGAAACATCATGCAAAGTTGAACTGTACTGCTACAATTTGATGTGGAAGAACCTGGAGAACCAAGATCAGATCCATCTTTTTGAATATTGGACGATCCTAGCAAATCAGTTGACTGATTCAAACGTACATAAAGTTTTCCTTGACCAGCAATCACTTTTACTCGTGAAAAATCCCAGAACTGGCCAGGGCTACACACTGGTGTTGAAACAGTTTTCCTACTAACTTTCACAAAATCAAAGTCAACTTCTGTAACATTTGGAAGTCTAACACTGATAACTTTGCATATTTTTTCTCTCATTAGTTGTTCACTGTCATCTGTCATGACATCCACAGTCCCGCTAAACAGAACATCATCTTTGCATATAGAGTAGTCTGGGACAATACCACCAGATTCCTGTGATTCCTCCTCAGCTAACTGGGAAACATGATTTAGGCATATAAGTTCAAACGTCTTCTTTTCAGGAGTTTTTTTCTTTTGCTCTTTTGCATATGAATGGCTTACTCTACGGCGCTTTGGAATCTGAGATGATATATTGGAAGATACAGAAATAGTGTTTGCTCGAAGCAAGTCACGAGCTCTGCGCACCACCCCAGTCACATTTTGTGTGTCTAAAGTAAAATATTTAATTAAGGAAAAAGGTAATTCATGCACAACTTAGGTCTAGCCATTTAGCCTTCAAGGTAGGCAAGAATAAAATTTAGAGGAATGATAACACTTCAAAATATATTCATGCGTATATACCTAAGTGATAGGGGGTTAAGCTGAATAGTAACATATCTTGGTTGGTATATTTAATATTTATACTTGTTTATAATTAACTATGAAACAATGGTCGTTGCTGTATTTATGTAGCAGTTTATAACAACATGTGGTAGGTGTGATTTCTGTCAACTCACATACAAGCATTAATAAAATAGGCTGTTTGATTTTAAACGTTACTATAGGTTGCGTTGTTTAATACTCTTAAAACATAGCGATATTATATTATAAAATGATATGGTAACCTAGACGACTTTGACTCGTTACTCGACTATCTGATGTATTTGCCACAGGAAGATTGCTAGTCGATTGCAATCCACCACTCACAGCCGTACGATTCCTTTCGGTGATAACCTCCTCTACAATTCTGCGTATTTCAGAGTCATAGAATAAATGTAAATTTATACTGCTCGCAAAAGAAACGTGAAAAAAAACAAAAAAACGGCAGAGCACATGCAGCCTCGCTCGCCTCGTTTCCAGGCGACAATGACCGTATATGGACTATGCTATGGTCAGTGAACTGCTATCGTAAATTGGGAACTATGGTCCATTAATTCTTTCGCTGTAGACCGCTGTTCCAAAGCTATTGAATATTTTTCGAGATTTTATTGAATATATTTTTTGCCGAGTTAAATATTTTACAGTGTAATTTAGTGAAGATTTCGCCTGTCGCATTGAATATTTAACGCAGTTACACAATGTTACACAAAGGGGTATATTGAACATTTTTGTGATTATTGAATATTATATGACTTTATTGAATATTTTAACAGTGTATTGCATATAAATTGCCTGTTTTGAATTTTGCTACAATTCGGCAACCATAGCTATGCATGCCTACCGTATCTCATGACACCCTACCTTGATCCACAAACACAATCCCAAAGGCGATTTAATAATCGGGCCTTGAAGATTACAAGGTCGATCATTGAAAGATCATTTGGCATTTTGAAGCGTCGTTTTCATGTTTTACATTCCGAGGTTAGAATGGCACCAGACCGAGTTTGCACCATCACCATTGCATATTGTTATTCTACACAATATAGCCATTGACAACAATGAGCCTCTGCCAGAGTTTGAAGAAGAAGAGCCATTTAAAAATGTAGTTTTTGAGGGAGTGGAGACAGGACAGGCAGTGAGGAATCACCTTGCAAATACATACTTTTAAAACTTTATTGCAGTTCAACATTTTAGAAATTGTTGTACATTGAGTGTAAACATAAATTGTATCCCTATGATATTCTATTCATGTAAAATTTCAAAATTAATCATATGTACATTAACACAACTGTATTTGATAAAAAATTAAATATTCATTCATTAATATAATTAATTATTTATATAAATAATTTATACATGCACAACAATAATTAAAAATTAATATAATTTAAATTATCATGCAATGAGCATGTCATAAAAATGGCTCTGTAAATATTCTTAGAACAAATTTAAATAACTGATACACAAGTGTGTTCATGCATTTAGAATAATTTATATTATTGCATAAATATATGCATGCATGATGTTAAAATTGTTGTGAATTCATCAAAATTTAATTTTTAGATCAAGTGAGGATTTTGATTTGCATGTATTTCATCACACTAGAGAAATAGTGACATCACCACTCTTGAAATGTAGGAAAGGTTTTACCTAAGTTGTCGCACATGTGCATCTATTTAAAGAGTGCTAAGGGTTGGGTATTTCTATGAAAAATATACTAGCAAGGTTGAATTTATTCAACAACCTCAAAGATGAATTAATTTCAAGCAAATTGATTGTTCCAAGCAAATAAACTTTACCAAGAAGTAGTGATTTGGGGACTTCGTTTGAAAAAGTTCTAAAAAAGTTGTTTGTTTGTTTTTTTTTTATTTTTGAGGTAGTTGAATGACCTGATGTGACAGCAATGTAAGAAATTAATGCAAATTAGTAACCCTTGCTTTGAGTTCCTCTATCTCCAGTTGTAGCTTTATTTTTGCTAACTCTAGGTTTTCCACCTCCAACTCTATCTTTCTTTTCTCCAACTGGAGCACATCAATATGCATTGATTGCACATCTTGGTTAGTTATCTTTCTCTTTTTCCTCGGCCCCCCGAAAGCAGCATGATCTGTGGACTTGGGAGTGGTACTTTCACTAGAAAGACTAGTGACTTCCACCTCAACTTCTACTGTCTCATCTTGAAGTGTTGCCTCTTCACCAACACTATCAAAACTATCATCTGTGAAACCTTCTGGCTCCGGGGTAAAACTGGTTCCTACAAATACAGAATACAAAATGGTCAACGTTTCGAAAATAAGTAAAAAATATAGTGGTTTACTATGTTTATACTATGTTTATATTAGAGTATAGAAAATTATATTATACATTTAAAGACCTTCAGACAATAAAAATAGTATCATGATGTATGTCATGAGACATCTCAAACACGAGCGTACATAATAATATTAAAAGCTGTATACGAAAGCTGTACTTATCTCAATGAAGGATGAAAAGTCATAGCGACATTGATACTTTTTCTTTCGAAAACAAAACTATCATTTATTATGCGAAGTATTGCGTCGAGAGGACGAAAGCGCAGTTCGTCACTTGAAATTTGTAGTGAATGAAAGCATATATAATTAAGAGCAAGGCGCATGAGCAATTTGACACTTACCTGACTCGATACCACCTTGGATACCCGAAAATCCAGGCTCATCACCGAAAATCTCGATTATGCTTTGGCTTGTTGAAGTGGGCGGTGGAGTCGGTCTTCCTCCTCCCATTTTTTCTACCGATTGCCTTTCTTTTCCCATTTCTTTCCGAGCCACTCCACACATTGCTCGCCATTTCTCGCGGACATCAGTCTCCGAACGCAAAGCGACGCCTAGTGCGTTGACTTTATTGCAAATAGACCGCCAAACTGCGTGTTTTTTTGGTTAGTTAATGTGTTTGAGAACTTTTCATTGCAATATTAAATTGCACTCAGCTGTGGAGAAATTTAGTTTTCTAGCTTTTCTTGCTTTTTTAGCCTCCATTTTGATACGACTACGACTGGTAAAACCCGGTTTTCGCCGGTTAAGGTAATCTTAACTAGCGGTTAGTTAAACGCGCCAGTAAACGGGCTTTGTGCAACGCAATTTTATCGCGCGTTTAACTAAACGCTGGATAATAAATTTATACGCTGGATAGTGGTTAAACACCGTTTAAGTTAAACGCCTTTCGAACAACCGGCCCCAGATGTTTCCATGTTTCAATAAGAAAAATCTTTATGCAAGCCGTGAATGTTTATGTAGCGGTCAAAAGCAGTTCAAAAAAAAGCAAATTTCCTCACACTAGTAGATATTTCTGTATATTTTGTACAAAATTTTACGTTTTTGCAAAATTTATTTACGTTAATTTTTTCCCCAGATACCTAATGCGACGTCATGTGCAAATGGTCTATACACTGGGAACAAGAATGATTGCAATGGAAATTTCCATTTTACGGTCAGTAAAATGGAAATTTTTATTCGATACTGCATATATGATCAAAAACAACTGTGTGTATGATCAAAAACAAAAAGGTGTTGTATAAAATAGAATCATGATTGATTTACTGTGCATACTCTCAAATTTGCATTTGACAAATTTCGATGACATTAAATCTTTCGAAAGTTTAAAATATACATATAATTTTGTTTTACCTGAGCACAATCTCCTGTCCGAACGAATACTTTCATGGAGTTGGTAACAGCAATTTAACGCAGAACTTGTCTCGCTCGTATGAAGCTTAGCTACGAATCTAAGGATGGTTCACGTTTTGTCTAGAATTACCTTCTCGCCTGATTCAAATAAGACATATTGGAGAGGCATAGACGTAAAGATATCGAGAGCCCATGACGAATTTTGTCAACCAATAACAATAATCACAACATGCGGTCTTGCAAGGAATCTTACCGCTATTTATCATAATAGGAAGACGTATAAAACGTTCACTCCAGCAGCTCCGAAATCCCATACAATAGTGTTTGTAATGTTAGAATGCTCGTTATCTTACGATTGTTTATTGTTCAAAAATATTACATCCTAATGCCAATAATTTATAAGCTATAACACGTCATTCGTCGTCAGTTATTGCTGATCGATGTGATAGCGATCACCGATGATTGCGCGATATACGAGAACTACGCCTATAAATATCAAAGACGATTAAATTCCCGAGATTATTTTAAGATGTATATTTTTCGTATCAAGAAATAATTTACAGTAGAAGAAATTTAGCTTCGCAGGTCTTAATTACGACAATATATTAAGACTCGGAATGACACCGCAGAAATTGGTGTTTAAGACGTTTAAACCCGAAAATCTAATCGCTTGTTCACAATTGTGCATTTCTGTACCACTATATAAAGAGAAACCTTTTGAATATCTTAAAAAAGTTCGATTTTTCTTCTGAATACGCATTCTGCATCTGCATACACATTTTATGAGCAATATAGGACCCAATGATTAAGAAGATTAGTAATAAAACTTTATTAATAATAATAATAATAATAATAATAAGTCTTTATTGCATGGGTTCACAATTCAAAGAACGCAATCTTTTTCCAATTAGCTGCATGTATACGTATTGACTCAGCAATGAGTATAAAAGGAAACGTCCGCGCGGCGCGGACCTAGGTTTCTATTATTGCATGATTCATACTGGATTCCGCTCGGTTAAAATCTATTGGGCTGACAAGCTAGACCCTTTATAAATTTAGTAGATCTTTCGAAAAATTAACTTCTTCCAATGAAAAGAATTCATATATACGCACATAAAGCAAGGTCTGATTCAAAATTTAAGAACGGGGAATCCATTGCATCATTTTCCGAAAACAAAGGTTTTTGTGCGCTAGTGACAATCCAACTTCTTAGGGCAAGGCTTGTGTGCTTAGCTTTTAAACACTACATTAAATTTCTGACGTAGACATCCTGCATGTAGACATATATCTTGCGAAGAAGAGATCCTTTATCAATTTATTGATCGTGGGAAGTATACGAACATTAAAAGTTCTTTAATAACGAGGGGGCGCGATTCTTGACAAACAATGTTAATTGCATTTCAAAGGCGGCGAGGCATCGTTGACACTATACTAAATTGCTTTCGAAGCAGGTCAAATTTAGTACCTAAATTTAAAGGCAGTGAAGAATTTTTTGTCACAGATTGAAAAATGTCGGATCTATCATATTTAGAAACCATTTGCTACAAAACAAGTCATTGCTTCTTAATTTAAGGAAAACGAGATGTGTATGTTAAGCGAATTGGATATCCGTAGTGTAAACAGGGACGAAATCCCCGTATATATACGGAATTGGTTTCGCTAGACATGACAACAGACTTTATTAAGGTTCGTGTTAATACAACTCTTTCTTGGGGTTATACATAAAACATACCCGTATACTAATATGTATATACTACAATATGCGTGGTAAAATATAATTATATCCAAAACAAAATAACATGATACAAGTTACACAGTAGCTACAGTTTGACGTTAATCTTAAAAATTGCATTCATTATTGTACACTGAGGATAATCTATATTCCAGTTTTCGACACCCAGATTTCCTCACTGCATGCTTTCACAAAATAAAATTGCACTATATATAGATAAGGAAACATATATTTTATACACTTTTGCGAATATAAGTCCGTTGGTTCAGTATTATAGAATTACTGATCTGAAAACCAATTATATGAGTCGATCCATCATTCTAACAAGTACGATTACACTACAATATCTTGTAATTTCTTCTATCGTTCGGTATAACGTAAGTCTTTCATACTTTCAACACTGATCCTGCGATCTTCTAGAACAGTCAATTATTTGCGACTTTCCTCGTCCATCTCAACCACATTTATATAGCTACATTCGCTGGATAAAAATGAAAATTATATTTTGTATGAATATAGATGAAACAGAATTCTATTTGCTTTTACATGCACGTGTGTAATATTAAACACTGTATATAAATACACCCCGTGATTCTTTAGAGAAAAAATAATAATTTAACTTGAAAATCTCAATAGACCATCATGTTAGACAAAGGATCAATCCAGTACATAATTAGAAAAATCTTTCTGACCAACTAATTTATTGCATGCATGAGTGATCTACATTGATATAAAAGTAAAAAGAAGCAGTTTAATTGCAATATGACTGATTTTGTCCAAAAAAATTTGGGGAGCGATATTTATTGTACATAATTCCTTTCAAAGGAAATGAAAAACGAAGTTTCATTAGAAATATGTATCTTACGTCATTGGTCTCATGCAACACTTCCTTTACTTCTTCATGGACTTTTTCAAAGGATGGCCTGTCTTTTTGATCGTGTTCCCAACATTTTCTCATTATGCCATACCTTGAAATGTATCAGAGCGGAATTGTCAGCGATTATATACTACACGTCGTTAGCTCATTAGCTATATAGTAATATACGCTGCCGTAATCATTTATACTTATTAAGAATACCATATTCACGACTCCAGCTGCAACACCGGGATGTGAAGAATCATGCACATATCATTCGAAGTTCATATCTCAGCTCTCTATATGTTCATGCATGCAAGATTTACAAGGTTTTAAAAAAAAAGTTTTAAAGACCCTTCCAGACAGAGGTACATAAGTAGATTTCGAAAAGGTGTCGTTTCGGCGTTCAATTTTACATTGGTTAGTAAATAATTGGCAATTGAAAAGTTAAACTGGAAAATTATAGATATCGAATATATTAACCTGCAGTAATTGCAACTTACAGTTCTTCTGAGCAATGAGGAGGACGCTCCATACGATTTCCTGATGTGACAAAGGTGAATGTATCGAATGGGGAGATATCAGGGTACGGCTCCTTCCCTGAAAAAGTTTCATGTAGAAAAGAATCAATATCAAGTACTAACTCAATCTTATTAGGCCAGTTATTTGACCAGGGCTTCAGTTTGAACTCTTTTCAAACTGCATTTGCGAATCATTACGTTGTTGTGGACAGACATCGAAGGTCAGACAGCATCACGACTGTTTGCCAAAAATTCAGTAATTTTTCGCGCAATTTGAAGTGGTGTACGTGTCATGTTGTGTACACGAGTCATGCACCCTATAGTTTAATATTTAATAAACATGGTATACCTAATGTTGTGATTTCCCAGAGTACAATACCATATGCCCACCTTTAGAAAAACAAACAGGAGAAAAAAAAGGTTTGTCGTATAATGCACCAGGGGTTTAAAGCTGTAACAGTCTAAGTCTGAGTAACGTTAGAAGAGTAATGCGATAGAAAAACACAACAATTGTCTACATGACTAAGAAATGATATAATTACTATTTAAAGAAGCAATGAAAGCTTATTGTCGGATATTTGCATGTGCGCTTTGTGCAAAATAATAAATATAAACTATATTCCAACCAGGTACAGGCCGGTTTCTGATCGACCATCGTCGATGGATTAGGCTGGTTTTAGACCAATGTATGAGTGCTGATAGCTTTCTAGAGTTGGTCCGCTGTGACTATTAAAAAACAGCAATAATATGTGGAACCAGTGCTGCATGGGTGCAGTTGTCGCCTATTTCCATGTTGCATGCAGATGAGCCAGGAATTTTAGTAGTCTGTTCAACAATTTGACTGTTGCTGATGACGTAGACCAGAGGCATATTCAAGAAAACCTTATGATGCACTAATACACTCGCTATTACCAGTCCTTTATCGCTCTCCGTATGGTCGATATCTAGAGAAGAAAACTCACACATCACTTGAAGTTCGAAATATTCCTTGTGTAAGTGATTCCACTGCCATCCATTTCACAGGTAATAAATTCTAAAAATAAAAATTTGAACAGAAAACTAAAATTTGACTGTATACATTGCATACCAAAAGCCTGAAAAACGTTGCTAGAGTCTAAAGGCGTTTCATGCTACCACCCCATACGAGTTCCGTAGGCGAGATCTCCGTTTAGAAAAACCCAGTTATGAATCACAATCAATGGTCAAACAAACAACGATATTAAGATTACGTACTCTGTTTGACTTGACATACATTTTTTCGACGCCTGTGATCGGCCTGGCCAAACCGAAATCTGACACTTTCGCCTCATAGTTGGCTGAAATGAGAATGTTCCTTGCTGCGAGATCCCTATGAACAAACTAATTGCACCAAGTAATTGTTAGTAATGAATTGAAATCCATCATTTATTTGGTCAACGTTTTGGTAATAGAAATACTTTTCTTGGATATTTCTACATTCGGTCAACTGATTGGGTTCAAATGTGTATACTATAGGTTTCGTATGGCTGAACTGCCTGATGATACTAATAAGGTTTTTTAGGTGATTGAAGAAAAAATCCAAGTTCGTCAACCCATAAAATATCCGAATCTTGACATTCGCCGTATGACAATGAGCGATTTTATACGTTCGTTCAGGGAACACGGCCAAACTTTAAATTCCTGGACCAAACGAAAATTTTCGCCCGATTTTCTTTCAGTTGTTAAAATTCTACCGTATCGTATGCTCCCTTTATCGGTCCACATTAAAAGAAAATCAAAAGCTTTATACTTTCTCATGCTTGCCGACACAAAATTGAATAAGGGTGAAAGTCAAATTGTGACGTTGCTTGGAATTAACGAATGTTTATTACAAACTCGTACCTGATTTGCAGCCAAATGTTTCATTCCACATGCTATATCAACAGCGATCTGAAGTAGTATTCTGTCGCTCAATATTGAAAAAACATTTCTGTATTGTGATATGTCTTTGTTATTGTCATCAGTCACTGACATTCGACTATTTTTTAGTAGAAACTGCAGATTTCCACGTGAGCAAAACTCGGTTAGTACCAGGATAGGTTCTACATTACAAAGACAAAACTCATGTTCATGACGTTGAAATCGTAATTTGCAATATAGGATTAGCCGTTATTTAGTATAATTATTATCATATTATTATTTTTCAAAAATACAAATTTGCAGTAAAAACAGATTTAGCTACGTTTTTACGATAATTTGCAAAAAATTTTAAACCAGTACTATATATGACGGTATTCAGTTTTTCAATGAAGTACCTGCGATGGTGTGTGCTCCAATAAGTCTTATGACATTTGGATGTGGACTTCTGTTGACTTCTTTCAAAATAAATAGCTCCATTAAGAGATTCGAGCGGTCTGCCGCCGATGGTTCGTCTTAGAAATGTATGAAAATAGTATTATAAATTTTCCTATTCCAAGATATCCGTCTCCAGTGTACGGGGACAGTGCAATTGCTGATGTCAGCACCTTTATATTCGTATCTTAGCTGCTCCACGGCACGTCCTACCTGTGAAACATGCAAGGTTGGGTATTTTCCTAAGGCAGATTGCGGTACCGAACCATACATGAATGGAAAGAATTGATACATCACACTAGCCGCAAAGAGTCTTACTCAGTACGAGCTAGAGTCTTCCTCGGAAGCTAAGCATTTCTGGATTAGGGTTCTAGTTTGGAATCGACTAAAAATAAATCTGAAAGTCGACTTTCGGACGTTGTTATCGACGCCTGCATCGTCGTTTTCCCCCATTTTTGGATCTCAGAAAATCCATTCTGATTCCTATTTTCCCCAACATAATTATTATAAGGGTGGCAGAAGTGTGTCTGGGAGGGGGGTACTCGTAATTGATTCACATCCAGCATTATTAATTTGTATTCTACTAAAATGATTGTATGACTATTAGCCCCGCTCCCCCAACACTTAATGATCTTCCTCCGTCATTGTGCCATGTCCATTGTACTATCCGATGAGGGCCTACATTCACATTTATTAATTTGGAATGGGAAATCTGAGTTCCTTTTGCTCGAAGCAAGCAACCTCAGCTGTTACACCACAAAAAGATCATTTGCATAATAATTATAAATTTAGAAATATTAAAATATGTTGAACTAGAGATGTATGATGGTTCTATTTCTATTTCACAGCACAGACTTTCACGTGCTAAGTTCGCTTCAGCAGTCGTTTCGGAGTTCAGATACTCGTCCGAAAAGAAAGATTTTTTTGCGCAATCCTACCGAAGTTTATTTCAGTATATTGCGTCAAAAACTCTCCATCAGTTGTACCATAAAACTAAGCTTTAAAACGACTAAAGCGTACTTGGCACACTGATGTCTGTGCTTTCAACTGGACTCTAAAAAACAGATATTAAGTATGTTAAAGTATGTTATGCAAATGACCTCTTTGTGGTGTACCACCTTAACTGTAAAAAAACTTTATAACATGATTAAACTGCACAGCTACCTTTTAGCATTTTAACAGCCACAAATTCTTCATCATTCTTTTTCTTTTTGAACAGTCCTTTCTTTACAACACCAAAACATCCTCCACCTAACTTCTTATTTAGAATCGTCAGATCATTCTTTTTGATTTCCCAGTCGTCCAAGATACAAACATAGGACATGATTTCTAGAAATGTGGAATCATTTTATTGCGACATTTTACCGACATGTTTTTTAGAACTTGCATTTACACATTTAAAAATTGTGTCCATTAAAATAGGATAGGAGTAGCGAGAAGCATAAGCCCCGAATTAGAACAATGTTATTATAGGGACTATCTAAACAGCGCCAGTTCCTCGGAACAATGATATAGTCTGAAGCTTTGTCTTTTTTATCATTTTAAGTCAACTAGCAACTCGGAAGCTAGCGGTGCAATTTTGTGGAATGTTGCTTAGTTTCCTGTTTGAGACATATTAGTATATTTCAATATTCTTCACTATATACTTGCCTTCTTCCTGTTTTTCTTCTTTACTATTATGTTCGTGAATGGATGGTAATCTTTTCCTTGGGGAACTGTCCACGTTCTTTAGGTGTTCAGGAAATAGAATGTCCATGTTATCTTTAGAGGCTTTTCGTGCTTTGTTTAACTATTGAGAATATGGCCAAAAATTATAATAAAGATTATATCAGATAGGCCAACTGAGATAGCTTTTAATTCTTCTATCTCACAAAAATCTATTATACACTTATGTGTGTTTTATTCATATTTCATGCGAATTATTAGGGAAAACAGTTTTCAAATACTAATTTTGTTCAATTGAAAATGCCAAGTCTATAGTCACGCTTATTCTAGTTGTTATTGAAATCATTTCTTTGCATCATCTCAATAATTATAATCTGATTGAAATAATTCATTTTGATTTTATTAGGACTACTATAATTTGTCTTTATTGTGGGGTAAAGGTTTTCAATAGTTATTGGGGAAAAACTGGGGGGAGTGAGGACAGCCAATGCCTGAAAAATCTCGTGGTAACTAGATGATTCACATTGCATTCAATTACTAATATTGTTTGTGAATCATAAATAATTAATGAGGTTTATACCCAACAAAATTTCGTGGATTAGGTCACATGCACACCCTGTATACCCATATCACAGCAAAAAATGAATTTCTTAAGAAATTGAATTTTCTTGTTTTAAGAAAATATTTACTTGTTTCAAGAAATAATTTTCTTATTTTGGGAAAATATTTTCTTAAGATTTTTTTCTTCTTAATTTGAGAAAACATTTTCTTGAAATAAGAAAATTATTTCTCGAGAAAATATCAGAGATATCACTTTCTTATCATAAGAAAAAGTTTTTCTTAAAATGAGAAATTGTTTTCTTAAGAAAATATTGAGATATCAATTTCTTGTTATAAGAAATATATATGCTCTTCGCATTCAATTTGAAGAATTTCAGCTGAGAGTAAACTTCATAATTACTTGTGTTTCAAATGTTCCTTATTGTTGAAGTTTGTTGACAAAGTCAACAATGACTAGGAAGTCATTGCTGACTTCCTAGTCAACGATGAAGCTTTTCTTACTTGCACTTTACAAGCATGGCGTGACATATTCGGTCAAGAACTGTTAAAATAGAACAAAGTCATAATATAATGTTTGCAAAATGCTGTTTTCATTTACAGAAATCCAGCGTGAGATAATTCAAATGATAATTCATTTCTCTGTATTTCTAAGTAATTATGTAGTGCCTATAATTCTCATGTATTAATGTCTGCTGTGTATTCTATATTATGACTCATGAATATTTTAGTAAATTTACATTACATTCTTACTTATAACAAAATATCATGTCAGAGTTTCTAGGGTTTCTTGAGAATTAACTTTTCTCATTATAAGAAAACATTTTCTTGGAAATATTTCTTATATTAAGAAAAATTTCTTAAGAAAATTTTTCTCATTATGAACATTCTATAAGAAATTTTGGACTAATTTCAAGAAAATTTTCTTAAACTGAGAAATTATTTGTGTGCAACTTTTCTTATTTTGAGAAAATTTTCTTAAGAAAAAAATTCTTAAGAAAAAAAGTAAGAAAATTTTCTTATTATTCTCCCAAGAAAATTTTCTTAAAATGAGTTTTTTTTTCTTGAAATAAGAAAATGATTTTTTGCTGTGTAGATATTACTTTGAATAAATGTGCATGTCAGTTACAAACACAAGTGGTTGTATCGGAAAAGTACATGGGACAACCAATAGTGTTTTTAACCGATTTCAGTCATATTTATTCCAACCCTCTTGATTACAAATTTATTCCACAAGTTGTTTACAACACTCGCGGTTGTCCACTTGTATCATTTAATGCAACACGGCCGCTCGTGTGTTTAAACATAAAATAGAGAATAGGTAAATAAAACTAACCTCGTGTATAGGGATATTGAATACTTCTTGTTGCCGTGCGTTTCTTCGTTTTCGGTAAAGCCAATAAGCAATGAGAAGCCCGGCAAGTAAAACGAAAGTTGGAACAACAACAGCGATAACCACTATAGTTGTATTGCCTTCACTGCTGAACGCATTTAAAGTACCTAAAATAAACCGACCACAAATTTATATGTACACTTTGACTGTATTTTGGTCCTGCACCTTTTTTCCCAATTTTTCAGTATTGTTCAAAATTCGAAATGGAGATATACGTGCTAATTCTGATTTTAGGCAAATTGACAGTAAATTGCGTTAATCTCTAATATTATTGCATGGTATCATGCAGGGCTGCCAGATATGTGAATTTTCGATGCAAAATTATCATTAGTACTGCCAAGAAAACAAAGAAAACAAAGTGCCTTTGTGACCATTGGCCATTGCTATCGAGTTTGGCCTTCAAAATTCTGGCAACCCTGATTGGTACCGGTATTACAAACACTGGCAGATACATGCAGTGTCAGTAAAAATTGATTACAGATTATTGCCATACGATTTGCTACGAATCTTCAAAGAATATTTCACACATTACAAATGCTTGGAATGATTTTAAAGGCGTCTTAAATTTTTCCTAATATTTCTTAATTTGGACCAGTGGCAACACCATGCCGTTAAAGGGCCAGGGAGTTAAAACACGAATAATTTTTACACGAAACACGAAAAAAACACGAAAAAATTTAACGCTTTCAAGAAAGCGTTTTTACGCTTTGGAGAAAGCGTTTGCACGGATACGAATAACCGTTTAAACGCACAGAAAAATGAACCGTTTTTTTTGGATGGGCCGATTCATCCCTATAAACGGTTTGACGAATTTATATACCCAATTTCACGGACGAAACCAGATGATTTGGGGAATCCTTCGATCCTAGACCATGATACTGGTGTTTAAATCAAACAACGGTAAAATATGCGGTCAACTGTCTTTTGCATGTGCATGTTTGATATACCGGAGAACATGATTAACGCAACAGGTAAACGCAAGTAGCGGATGTAACATTATAGGCTGTTTATGCATGTTCAGCTATGAGGGAGCATGCAGAGCTTTGATCGCTACCCCACCCTGCTCTTTACTGCTACGTATACCAGTACAGCATGGATAATATTAAAATCATAAAATGGAGTAAAATTGTAAAAACAATAGCCAAATATACCTGAAGGATATGGCCACAATCATGCCACTACACTGACTGCAGACATATATTATGATACATGCCGTCCAACAGCTTTAGGGATAATTACGCTCCGTTGACAGCGCAACATAAATACTCGATCAATGTCATATGTACCTAATCAACGAAGTTAATTATAAATCGTAGAAGCAAGCAGACCATACAGTTGTGATTTGCCACTCGTGCTAAGCAATTTACTTTGTTGTTTATGTGTGAGCTTCATATCGTTCATTATCCGTTCGTTTGCCGCTCAAACACTTGAAGCGTACGTTCTGCGTTCGTTGAAACAATTTTTGAGATCGTTCATCGTTCGAAATTGCCCGTTCGAACGCCTCGAGAAAAAAGTTCCAAAATGGTTCCAAAAGCGTTCAACCGTTTTGATTTACCGTTCGTTGGAACGTTTGCCGGAATTTTGCTCAATCGCATTGAATTTGGTAGAACATTAGATTAAAATACATAGGACACTACTCTCAAATTACAGAACAGAAACTTCTCAACATTGCCAAACGATTCTGCAGTGACATAAACTTAAAACTGGTGTTCACTTCTTATAAAATAAAAAAACATTTTCAACTTTAAGGACGCAATCCCCAGTGATCTAAAATCCCTTGTGGTATACAAATTTACTTGCGCAGGATGTAATTCCTGTTATATTGGTGAAACCACCAGACATCTCGCCACAAGGATCAAAGAACACACCTCCACTGACAAATAATAATAATAATAATAATAATAATAATAATAATAATAATAATAAAATTTCTATAGCGCATATTCACTGCTGTCCTATGCGCTTTACATTTTAAAATTAATTATACAATATTTTACACGTCTTATATGAAAAGGTTAAAGTTCAACCGCTACAAATTCTATATCAATACCAATACTATTTAAAACTGCAGTAAAACTTAATAATGAGAATGTCTTATAATCATAATTATAAATTATAAGTCATACGTTGTAAGCTAATTTAAAAAGATACGTCTTTAATTTTGTTTTAAAAATGTTAATGTCAGTTATAGATCTGATATCTACTGGAAGTGTGTTCCATAGTTTTGGCCCTGCTACCGAAAATGCCCGATATCCATAAGTTTTAAGTTTGTATGATTGTTCTTTAAGACGCCATTTATCTGAAGATGATCGAAGTGTTCTTGTTGGTTCATAAAGACATACAAGTTCTTGCAAATATTTGGGAGCAATATTATTTACTATTTTGAAACACATTAAATTCATCTTAAAAAAGATTCTTTCTTGAACTGGCAACCAGTGTAGATTTCTTAAAATTGGACTGATGTGGTCATACTTTCGCAAACAAGTAGACCGGGAGCCCAGAGGGTCGAGCCTAGCTGGAAAGCAAACCAATTTTAATGCACATAGTGATGTTCTACATGCGTACGAATATACGAAAATGAACGTCTGCCGGGCATACGCTGGTGGGCGTGGTTAGGATGGGCACGTGAAAGATGCGAGAAAATCAGCTAGATCAGCTGTGAGATAACCGAATAAAATATTTGCCAAAATGTTCAGCATAACTTTTGTAGTTACAAATGTCCACTGCCAGACATATTGGGTGGTGGGTTGGCCCCGCCAGACAGCCTCGAAAGCCCACTCCCGAAATTTGTCTAGATCAGCTGTGAGATAACCAAATAAAATATTTGCCAAAATGTTCAGCATAACTCTTGTAGTTACAAATGTCCACTGCCAGACACATTGGGTGGTGGGTTGGCCCCGCCAGACAGCCTCGAAAGCCCACTCCCGAAATTTGTCTAGATCAGCTGTAAAATACCCAAATAAAATATTTTGCATGAGGTTCGGTATAACTCCATTAGTTCCAAATTGCCACTGCCAGACATTTCGAGTGGTGGATTGACCACGCCAGACAGCCTCGAATTCCCTCACCTCTAGAAAATTGTTCATGATCATCTATTTCTAGATAATCAGCAAATTATATACTTCGAAATATATATATATATATATATATATATATATTAATATAATTATTATATTATATATATATATATATATATAATAGTTACCAAAGACTATTGTCAGACATTTCTGGTGGTGAATTGTTTTTAACTCAAAAATTTGAATATAACTCATCACAGTTAATAGAAATGAACTTATTTAAGCCTAGACTGTATACAATCGGCCTGAAAAGCAACAGTACAAAATATTTGCAGTCCATTTCTGTCCGACATTACCAATTGTAATCTACGCTGCGTGCAAGAATTATATGCAAAATAGTTTTTCCGCTACATTTCATTTGGTTTTTAAAAGAGGATTATGAAATTTCGTATATATTATGAAAACACTGTATCATGCCCACAACTGAAGCTTTTGGCTGATCTGAGCGGCCATTTATGCTTTAAATAGAGATCTTGGGCGTCCATTTTTATATGCATATTACACTTATACTGCTATTTAGCGAATTGATACAATGGAAAAATTTATAAAATGAGACAATATCGTCTATCTAGGTAATTTTAATCAATATATTCTCACACACATTTGATAAATAATAAATTATATAATGATATACCAAAAATAGAAGATTAATATTATTCATTAATGTTTAATGTATCATTCATGATTTGATTTGACTAAAAGTAGCCTTCGATCCATCAATGCAATCAGTTTCCTGTTGCATCAGGTGAAATACCTCTAGCAGTAGTTTTAATTGCATTCCAAAGATCTTCTGTTGACGAGTACTGTCTTCCACCGGCATATACCTCTCTTTTTTCCACAAGTTCTGAATTGGGTTGAGATCCGGAGAGCGTGCTGGCCATTGCATAATTTCACCTTTTTTAACAAGAACTTTACTAAGAAAGCCTGTTGTCAAGTGTGCAGCATGGGAAGGAGCATTGTCCTGCATAAAAACCATATTCCTCCGAAATGACAAATTTTCTTCTTATACCATGGCAAAAAATGCTCCTTTAGGAAAGCTATGTATTTCGGGGCGGTCATTTTAACCCATGCATCCTCGACTCTAAATGGGCCGACAAGTTCATCATTGATGATCGCAGCCCAGAACATAACTCGCCTTGTTGATGCCTGAAACACTGGAGGTAATCCTTTCATATCACACCATCCTCTTCTCCAGCCATCGGATCCATCAAGGGTTGCTCGGGACTCGTCAGTAAATAACACCAACTCAAAGTTCTGTTTCACATATTTTTTCACCAACTCAAAGTTCTGTTTCACATATTTTTTCGTCCACTCGAGTCTCTTTTCTCCATGAACTTTCCTTAAAAGAGGTCGCACCAAGGGTGTCTTACATTTTGCATTACGCTTTAGAATGGAACATCGGCTGCTTTAAGAAACGTTACACGTACCAACTGCTTCGAAGACCTGCTTGGAGGTCTGTAGATGATTACGGTGGACTTCGCGTTTAAGTGAACTGACTCCCCGACGAGACACACCTGACTTTTCCTGAATCTTCCCCTTGTCTGCTCTTCCATTGCAGGATTGTGGATTTGTAGCATATTTTTTGATTTTACGATGGTCACGTTGAAGCATTTTAGCGATTTGAAGGGTGGGTTGCTTCTGCTGTAGTGCTTGAATAATTTTGGTCTTTTCAACTCCGCGGCCTATCTTGCATATAAAAATGGACGCCCAAGATCTCTATTTAAAGCATAAATGGCCGCTGTTTGTTTACCACTGCTCAGATCAGCCAAAAGCTTCAGTTGTGGGCATGATACAGTGTTTTCATAATATATACGAAATTTCATAATCCTCTTTAAAAAACCAAATTAAATGTAGCGGAAAAACTATTTTGCATATAATTCTTGGACGCAGTGTATATAATTTGCTGATTATCTAGAAATAGATGATCATGAACAATTTTCTAGAGGTAAGGGAATTCGAGGCTGTCTGGCGTGGTCAATCCACCACTCGAAATGTCTGGCAGTGGCAATTTGGAACTAATGGAGTTATAC